TACTCACCTTACCTTTCCTCTGCATTTGTGTCCATCTGTCACTTTACATCCGTGAATCACTCTTCGTTCCTCCCCCTCTCGAATTTTTCTCACTATGATGCTCCCCCCGTCTATGAAGTCCGGAGTCGTCTAAATTGCTAATGATAACTATCAAAACGCCTGCCATTTTAAATAAATAAATTTTAAATGATCACAAAACATAAATTTCACCTATTTCACACCAATCCTTTGCTGACTTGCAAACCTTTCAACATCTAAAAAAGAAAAAATATTCTACAGGGTGCATATTCATCAAATCATCAATGTCTTCACAAAATCCATAGTTGACTACTATATTTCAAATCATCAAGTATACAAGGTAATCCGCAAACCAGCAGAAATCAACATTCTCGAGGTAAATTAACACTTACAAACTACTTTGCAGCCAATCGCATGTTAAAGTCCAGTTTGGAGCAGACGCCGAAATGAGATGTTTTTGGTATCTGAAAACTCAATCTCTAAACCAAAGAAACAAACCGCTACAAACTAATATCGACGCAATGCTACTTGTGAGCCCAAATTATATCCACCCTACTTAGGCATCATTGATCTAAACCCCTCGAAAAACCGCCACTCTGCTCACTCTAACCCTTCCCTTGCAGAGTCTGTACTCACTCACGATGGGCACCTTTCCAATGCTCCTTCTTAATCCTTCTCGAAAAAATCATGTATACCCTTCCACTTTCCCTCTCCTGTCCTCGCTTCCAGACACTGCTAACCACATCAAACTGTCATCTTGCTTTTCTCGACCCAAAATTTCTTGTGCTTTTATGATCAAAGAATTAGCCTTCTTTCTCAACTGATCGAATAGGCACAGTAATTAATTTTCGAACCTTTTTATCGCATTTTATTGAACCAACAAAGTTTTCTGAAGAAAGGGATGTGGTGTACCCAACTCTACCAGAGGTTTTATGGGTAGTAACGATTAAGAAAATAATAAATCAAGGTTCAGTGACTGTTCGTGGAAATAAATTTACCTACAATTAATTAGGCCACACCTATAAATCTAAGATTGAAAACATAACAGAACATTATGACACTAGGAAAATATTTAAAAATATCGATTTATCCAAAATACAAATCAGCTTAGCTTATTGGTGTTTTGATTCTATTCCCTGCCTCTCACTCCTTCCTTCCCTACATACATCATTGGACCCGTTGGTTCTTCCTGCTGTTTAGTTCCCATCGCATGATTACAACATGGAAATGTTTATTGCCTAAGGCGAGGCTGACTAACTTGCATACGGCCAAGGTTATATAATTTGTGCCAAAATCGGACGTTGGATTTTAGCAAAAACCACTGTGTTCAGTGACGGTTGTGTTGATTAAATAGCCTAATTATAAATAAATAGGGTGGGCTCCAGGTTTGAGGATTTCCTGTTATTAAACGGATCAGAATTGGTCCGTCAAATATATTTGATTGAAAATCCGTACGGTATTTACACACTGGGACACTTCGATATTATTTATCCACAAAGACTGCTAGTATAAGGCCCCAAACGAAAGGTAACGTTTAAATACTTTAAATTTTATATTTACTGCTTGGTTTTAAAATAAATAAGCACATTTTATCAATTCTTTTCCACCATATTCATAAGTGACAGCGTGAAACTAACCTGTTCTACTTCTAACACTATTATATTCATTAACGAGGGGTGTACGATAGACTTACCTCCACTTGGCAAAAATGTCATAAATCGGCAGTTGACTTCTCACTTCAAACTACTATGATATCACTGTAATGCAGCTTCTACCACTTTCACAGTACTCACTTTACCTTTACCCCTACCTTTGTGTCTGTCTGTCTCTTTTACATCTGTGAATCTCTCTTATTTTCCCCTCCTCTCCACATTCTGAAACATTGTCCGTTCCTCTCCCCTGTGAAGTCTGAAGTCAACTAAAGAGCTAACGATAACAATCAAAACGCCTACCATTTGATATAAACAAATATTCACTGATTGATCTTTTTTCAAATGGAACATATTAATCGTCACAATTAGATTATGCTTTGTACTTGAGCTTGATAAAAATACGTATTTTTTCCAACTAAAATAAATATAGTAATTTATTTGTTTTACTCCGTGCAAGTATTTATTTATTTCAAATGGCAGGCTTTGTGAAATTTATCATTAGCCCTTAAACTTTGACTTCAGCTTCCCCCAAGGGTGGGGGGGGGGGGGTACATTTATAGCAGTTCATTAGCCGTCTTCTTGCTTCCCAGTATCTCTGGCTTTCCGTCGTTGCCTTTAGGGCTGGACACCGAATCAGGTGGGTCTTCTCCATTTCCTCCTGTAGGTTACATAGAGGGCATGTGGGTTGAGTGTATACTCCCAATCTGTGAAGGTGTTTTGCCAAGCAATCGTGTCCGGTACGTAGTCTAAACTCAGCAACGGTTTCGATTCTTGGCCAGTCGGGTATGTCGGAGAGTGCCACTGTCCACTGTTTCGCCTTTGTTCAAGCTTTAATTTCGTTGCACCTTGAGGTATGGAATTCTCTCCTGATTAAGGCCTTCATTGTGTGGAAAGACATCGGCCGGTCCATGCATTGCAAAATCGTTGACCCCTTCTAAGCAAGTGTGTCAGCAAGGTCATTGCCTTTAATTCCACAGTGACCAGGAGGCCATTGTAGGACCACTGTTTTGTTTATCTCTCTCAGCAGCTGATAGAGTTTTCTACATTCCTTTATCTCAGCTGTTTTGGGTGTCTCTCTGTTTCCAATAGAGTCTATCCTGACTGTGAGTCCCAAAGTATCACCGCTTTGGTGAATTTAGCTTTTGGGTGTCTCTCTGTTTCCAATAGAGTCTATTGCTCGTCCGGAAGTATCACCGCTTTGGTGAATTTCGTATCCAGGCAACATAATTGTCATGGTGCTATCCTAATGGCCTCTATTTCTCCTTCAAAAGCGAGTGTTATCCCAATGGCCTGTATTTCTTCTTCAAAAGCGGGTCAGTTGTGTCGCGCTGCTGCGTAGAAAGAGAAGAGTTCGGAATAGACACCGGCACCAACGTTTGCTTGGTTTTCTATGTAGGAACCATCAGTGAAGACTTGGAGCCATTGATCTCCAGGATAGTTGACATTGATTGTCTTGGCCTGTGAGCGCATTTGCTCTGGAGGGGTGGTTGATTTCCCCAGTGAGCGCATTTGCTCTGGAGGAGTGTTTGATTTCCTAAGACGTCGAGCAGTTGGGTGCGACACACTACATCAATGTCTGCTTGTCTGACGTCGAGCAGTTGGGTGCGACACACTACATCAATGTCTGCTTTTCATGGGGAGAGAGAGGCTTTTTGGTTTGTCATCTCAATATGTTCATGGGGAGAGAGAGGCTTTTTGGTTTGTCATCGATTCGTATCGATTGAGAGAGACGCTTTTTGGTTTTTCATCAATTTGTAATTCCTTCTTCAGTTCT